GGGCAGATTTCTTGTAGAACCCATTTTGTGCAAGACTTTGTGTAGCTCAGTTGAAACATACTGAATTTCTGCATCAGAGTAATGCTCTGCCCTAATGTTCTCCTGCACTAGTGAAATAACATGAATCACAACCTTTTACTGATTCAACAGCCCTTCCTCCGAATTCTTTTCCCTTCCTTGAACATCAGCCATTAAGACTGGGCACTGAGTAACATTCTCATTCTAGTCACAAAGCTGGGTAGTATATTCTCCTCCTCTCCCCTCCATCTTCTGCATAGCAACAAAAATGAATATGTTCAGCTGCCAGTCTCACATACTTTTGGCAAGAATAGTGCCATACCATTCAGAATGTGCAAAACCACCAGGTTAGGACAATCCAAACAAGGGCTAGTCAAATCACAAAAGTGGCCTTGGTAGGATGCAGATGGTTTTTGGTTCCACATATATTGTTCATGAGTGAGTTATACATATGTAAGACACTATACAGCATAGTTTTGAACTGAACAATATAAGTTTAGAGTACAGTAGAAAGAAACAAAGTGTCTCAGGATTTGATACAATAGCTTCTTCATACTGGTTAGTATGGATGAAGTTAGTATTGACTGACAGTCTTTATTACTCAACAGCTGTTGCTCCTTGACCAAAGGGAAATAAGCCTTAGTTCCTTTCCAAGCAGACATCTGTCCAAATTACAGAATAGCATGATCACAGCTCAACCTTTTTGACAAGTCCCACCAGAGAGGCCAAGAGCCTACAAAGCACACTTTGCTTCAAGATGGTACCCTCAGGTCGAGTTTGTTTACTTTACTGTTACATTTATATCCTTTCATTCTCCAAGGAGCTTAGATCTTCACAGCAACTTGGTATGGTAGGTTAATATGAGAAATAATGATTTGTCTAAGACTACCCAAGAGATTCACAAATGACCTGGGAACTAAACAAGGGCTCATCAGATCCATACTCAACATAATGTCACTTCTGCATCACATTAGCTAGGCAGCGAAGTTGAACATGTTGAACTAGTCATTCTATTATAAATGCTCAGGTCTCATCAAAATTCAAGAACTCAAGGTTTATCTTTCTCCCTCTTTAACACTGTACATTCATCAACCTCAAGGATGTTATTTTATTTGTCCAGTGTATAGTTGATATTGGTAAATAGTTCAAAGCAGACCTTCAGAAATTCCTATTAATATGTTCTGTTTCAATTATCTATCTATTAGTTGCATTTATATCTGATCTTTCCTCCAGTAGACTGAGCATTTCATACATGTCTCTTTTTCCCTCCACATTATCCCCACAACAACCCTGTGATGTAAATCACATTATGAGAAAGTGACTGGCTCAACGTTTTCCAGCAAGTTTAATGGCTGAGTTCAGACTTCACAGTGGATCTCAAGTGATTTGAGAGATTTGTCTAAGACTACCCAGGAGATTCATTCTAACTAGTTTAGCACACTGGAAATTAATCATTCATCTCCTCATTGTCACTGTGATTCAGTTATGTGAGTGGAAGTGTATGTCAACTACTAACTAACCACTTTAGCGTTTGACAAAAGAAAGCCAAAACGCAATGAGAGAAAAGTGGCTTTCTCCTTGCCTCTCCACATGCTGTCAAAGCACTTCCATTCTTTTCCTAAGGAAGAATGTCATAAAATCATGTCTTTTGTCCATTTGGAATGGACAATGGAAAGATCAATTTGACAAAAGACATACTTTTACGACCATCTTCCTCTGGAAGGAGAACAGAAATGCTATGACAGCATGCAAGGAGGAAGATGTTTCTCTCTCACTGCATCTTGGCTTTCTTTTGTCATGTGATAAGACTCTAAACCATGGTAACCAGTCTTTTGAAAACCTATGGATATTTAAGTGATTTTTCAGAGCCTGGACACCTTGTGCTAAATGTACAGAGACATAGGGAGACTTCAAGTTCCTCTGAATAAATTTAAGACACACACTCACACCAACATTTCTGCTTGGTAACAACAAGTTTTTGCCTTTACTACCTGTCCCACTTCCTGCATACCATCATGGTGACAATTGTACTACATGTTGAGGCACATATTCAGTTATCTTTGTAAAATGCAGCAGTATGAAAGTTGCTTTTGATTCAACAAAAAAATTTCTCCTGGAATAGGAAAGGCAGAGGTTCGTGGCACTCATGCCAAACTAACTGATGCTGTGGGCATGTTCAGCTATTTGTGCCCATTCATATTTACTGGAAATGTTACCCTTGATTTCACAAATGGGTTATCCTTACAGTAAAATTTATCTTTAACAAAATTTGTCTGTTTGTAATATATACATATACAACCTACACTATATAGGTGGTGGGGTGTTGTGTGTGTGGTATGTACACACACACACACACACACACACACACACACACATATATATATACCACTTATACTATATAGGTGTACCTCAGGTCAGCAGAATTTTCATATTACTGAAAATACCATATATATTCATGTATAAGTCTAGAAATTTTAGGCAAAAAATTAATCCCAAAACACTGAGTCAACTTATCCATGGGTCATTGTATATACTGTACTTTAACTCTTATTTTAAAAAGGAACCATCCCTGGTGAAAGGCAACAGTGCAATCTGCCCTGGAAGCATGGACCCTCCTCTACTCTGTCACCCATCCAGACTTTAGTGTGAACACAAACAGTTATGCCTGCATGGGTCATATCAAAATCTATAATTTTGGCCCCCAAACCAAATCAACTTATAGTTGAGTATATACGGTATGTAGATATGTGTCTATTCAAGACACACCTATATAGAGTAAGTAATAGATATAGGACATTATGAGAGCAAGCATGGTATAGTTATAGTATAACTCAAGACCAGAATTTGAATCCATGCTTGGCAATGAAAACCCACTGGGTAACCTTGAGCAAGTCACATTCTCTCAGCTTCACAAGGCAAAGACAAACCTCTGAACAAATCTTGACAAGAAAACCCTATGACCTATTCACCTTAGGGTTGCCATAGGTTGAAACCTACCGAAAGACACATCACAATAGCATACTATGCCTATACAGTATAACTGATATGCATGTGTGTGTGTGTATGTGTGTGTATATATCATTTTACAAATCAGCATTTTTTTAAAAAAATCAATAGTCTGTAAAGTATAGGTGATGTGTGTATGTTTGTGTGTCTGCATGCATTTGTTGTTGTGTGCCTTCATGTCACTTCTGACTCATAGGAACCCTAAGGTGAACCTATCACAAGGTTTTCTTGGCAAGATTTATTCAGAGGGGTTTGCTATTGCCTTCCCCTGAGGCTGAGAGAGTATGACTTACCTAATGCCACCCACTGGGTTTCCACAGTGATTTAAATCCCAGTCTCCAGAGTCACAGTCCTGTATTCAAACCACTAACCCATGCTGGCTTGCTTCTACTACCACCCTTTATAATTTTAAAAATCAGCTGTTTCCAGGTTCTTTACAGATAACTTTGAAATATGACATTTCTGATTTTCCCCAAATAATTAGTGTGGCAATATTAAGCCATTATTTGAAATATGAGAGGCTGGGCAAAATAGATGCTGATTTTTACTAAGCCACAATTCAATGACCTGCTGACAGTGGAAGTTTTTAGTCATGGCTAACAGAAATCTCCTTGATTTTGATAAGAGCTAGGCTGCATACGCGCTGCAGAAATAATCCAGGTTGACACCACTTTAACGGCCATGGCTCAATGCTATGGAATTCTGGGAGCTGTAGTTTCTCGTGGCATCAGAGTTCTCTGAGAGGGAAGGCTAAATGTCCCATAACACTCAATTCCCAGAATTTCATAGCATTGAGCCATGGCTGTTAAAGTGGTTGCAATCTGGATTATTTCTGTAGTGCAGATGCAACCCTAGTCTTAATCATAGGACCTTATCCCACGCTGCTCTCAAAAGTGGCAAGAAAGCGATATGAGCATCATTGCAGTACTATAGCGCTAGTATAAATATGGCGCTAGCGCTATAATAGCGCTATGGATAAGCTCGCGCTATTGCAATGCCCACTGAAACCGACATTCAAAAGAACCCGAATGATGCTGCATTCCTAGCGGTTTCTTGTTGGATTCTGAGCGACGTCGTGTAATCACACAGAAAACTATAGCGCTATAGCGCCTGATTCTTAGCGGATTCTGAGCGACGTCGTGTGATCACCCGGGAATGTATAGCGCTATAGCGCCTGATTCTTAGTGGATTCTTGCTGCTTTTGGCCCCGTGGGATAAGGTCCATAAAGACTAAAATGTATTCGGCACACATGTGTAAGTTCCATTCCATTAGTTTCAGTTTGGAGTCAACCTGCATGTGATTGCAACTTTAGGTTGTAATCTATTCAGAGTTTTGTTTGGGAGAAAGCTGCTTTGAAGGTAGTGGGACTTACATCTCAGCAAATGAAAATGGGAATAGGGATGGGCTGCATGTCACAGAATCAAGGTTTTGCTGGATTATGTGCAGCACATATTAGCAAGTAAGGCAGGAACTCAAAAAAGTCCTTCTTAACCATTACATTAACCAGTGAATACAGTTTTATTATCACATGCATTCACTTGAGAGTGCTTGTAAGACACTAATTTCACACATGACTGGGCATAAATACAAACCAAGTTTCCAATTCACCCTTACATAATATGTACCAAATTTTTTTAAAAAAAGTTTTAGTCTCAAGTAAGAGGAAAAAAATTAGTTTGCAGAAATGCAGCATGGAATGCATCAGTTCAACCAATTGTGTACTTAATTGGTTTTTTAAAATAGACAGTGATCAGAACCTGAAAAATAAGATGGAATTTGAAAGTGGCTCAAAGAAACCTTGAAGATAAGTGGCTAAAAATTTAAAGTGTAATAAAATATACTGCCGCTCTATACTGTTGTTATTGTGTGCCTTCAAGTCGTTTCTGGTTTTCTTGGAAAGTTTCTTCAGAGACAGTTTGCTATTGCCATTCTCTGAAGCTGAGAGAGTATAACTTCCCATGTTCACCCAGTGGGTTGCCAAGCTGAGATTCGAACCCTGGTCTCCAGAGCCATAGTCCAATACTCAAACCACTACACCATGCTGGCTCACTGTACTACATGGTACGTACCTTATTCCAAAAATCCAGCCATGTCTTTGAATCTCATAAAATAAATATTGTCATTGTTAATTCCCAAAAAATGCTTTTTGATGTTTAAATTATGGCTAAATTATAAATGGCTTGAAGAATAGCAAAAATAATTGTTAACAATATATTATCCTTGATATTTCAATTACCAAGCTAATTAAATGTGGAATCAATGAGGAAACTATCAGATGGATCTGTAATTGGTTGGAAAACCATGTTAAAAGAGTCACCCCTCAATGGAACTGGAAGGAAATCTTGGGCAGTGTGCCACGGAGGTCTATCCTGGGGACATCACTCTTCAACTTTCTTATAAATGACTTAAGTGATAGGGTACAGGGAACCTTTGTCTGCTGTCACACTGTAGAAATAAAGCAGTTTCACACCACTTTAACTTCCCTGTCTCAATGCTATGGAATTCTGGAGTTTGCAGTTTGGTGGGGCATCAGAGCTCTCTGACAGGGAAGGCTAAATATATCACAAAACCATGAATCCCATAATTCCATGGTTGTGTCAAACTGCTTTATTTCTGCAGTGTGGCAGCAGCTCTTATCAAGTTTGTGGGTGATACAAAACTAGGACAGATAGCTAACACTTTGGAAGATGGGAACATAATTCAATAGGAACTTGATAAACTAGAAAAGTGGGCTCAAACTAACAGAATGAAATTCAACAGAATTGAATGTAGCATTCTACATTTGGGTCACACCCAAAAAATACATGGGTATAAGATGCAGGATCTTTGGTTTAGCAGTAATACACGTGAAAAGAATCTTGATCATAAATTGAACATGAGCCAGCCATGTGATGCTGCAGCTAAGAAAGCAAATGCTACTTTCACCTGCATGAATAGAATCACAGTCTCCAAAGTAAGGGAAGTAACAATCCCACTATATTTTGCATTAGTCAGGTCTCATTTGTAGTACTTCTTTCAGTTCTGGGTGCCTCATTTTAAGAAGGATATAGACAAGCTGGAGTGGGTTCAGAGAAGGGGAACAAGAATGACAAGAGGTATGGAGAACAAAACATATGAGGAAAGGTTGAAGAAATTGGACATGTTCAGCCTGGTGAAGCAAAGACTGAAAATCACACATTTCAATTCTGTTCCCCTTTATCCTGTATTCCATGCTTAAGAACTATGTCTACATTCCTGATATGACATTAAGCAAACAAAAGACATTTTTGCAAACCCTGATTTAAAAAAAAAAAAAAAAGCAATATGCCATCTCCCATTTTAAAGAGTTCTTTCACATTATACCAGTGATGGGAAGGGAGAGATCCAGATTTATAAAAGCTGGTTAAGGCTTCATGGTAGGAAGGGAGAAATCAAGGGATTTTAAAGCTTTTTAAGGCCTCATTCCCACTACGTTATCACCTGGTTTCCTAACCACTTTGAAGTTATTTAAATGAACCTTGTTCACACTTGAGTCGAATTGCTGAAGCAGTTTGATGAGGGAGGGCTGTGCTAGAACCATTCAACGCACATCTTTGTGACGCTCTTTTTCCCCTCATCTTTTGCAATAAATTGATTCGGCGCAAGTGTGAACAGGATGCAGATCGAAATCGATTTAATTTTGCCCTTTAAATTTGTCGGCCGTCTGAAAAGGGTTCATTTCGAATCAATTCATTAGTCAATGTGAACAACAAGGGAGTTATTTTACAAGAAGAAAATGTGATCAGGGCAAATGTCGTGTGAACCACACTCAGCTGTTGAACCGATTCACCAATTCGGATCACAAACCGAGTTATTTGTAAGTGGGAATGAGGCTTTGCCATCATACTCCTATCTGCCAGAGAGGAGGAGAAAGGGGAGGAGTGCCACTGGGTGGAGGTCACTTCAATTGCAAGCAAACAGAGCACACAGTTTTCATCTTGAGCCCCTCTTCCCTTGGGTTTCTGCTCAAGCAAGATCCCTTGAGGTGACCAAGAGGTGAGTTACCTCCTTGGGTTGGATGTCAGTTAATTAGAGCCTATATTTCTTGCACTCCCTTCCCTTTAGGGTGTGCCCCACGGTTTGAGAACCACTACATTACACAATTAAAGCACAGTGATTCTATTTTTACTGCCACAATTGCATTTAATGAAATCCTGGAGTTTGTCGTTCGGTGAGGCAGTAAAGGATCTCATTGGCTAAGAATCATAAAGGCCTCTTCCAGTCCCAAGATTCCACAGGATTTTTCTATGGTAATTCATGTGGAATCATAGCACTATAGTTGTGTAGTGTGAAAAGGCCCTCACTTAAATCATAACCAGAATAAAATGAAATTTGTGCATCCTCACCTAGATCTACATACATTTACTTGAGAATAAATACCATGTCTTTATGCAGAATAATATTTTTTAAATAATATATACATAAAAGGTAAAGGTAAAGGTTTCCCCTTTGACAAGGTTGTCAAGTCATTTCCGATTGTACAGGTCAGTGCTCATCTCCGTTACTAAGCTAAAGAGCCAAAGTTGTCAGAAGATGACTCAGGTGGTCATGTGGTCAGCATGACTACACAGAAAACTGTTTCCTTTCCACCAAAGTGGTGCCTATTTTATCTACTTGCACTTTTACATGCTTTCAAACTGCTAGGTTGGCAGAAGCTGGTACTAGTGATGAGAAATTACTCCATCATGCAATACTTGGGCCTCGATCTGCCGATCTTGCAATTGTCAGAGTTAGCATCTTAACTGCTGAGCCATTCCATCCCTAAGAAGAATTTTAAAAGTACAATGCAAATTACAGAAATTAAAATAAGAAAAAATACAGGGGAAAAGTGAAAGAAAAGAACAAGAACAAAAAACCAAGTCAAGAGACTACGCCACTGAGATTTACAGCAGAACTGAAACATATTCCAGGTAACTGCAGGATCCTTAATCAAGTATATAATCTTGTACCTGGTTTGGCCTTTGGATGCCATGTCTCAGCTTTACTTTTTCCTCTGTGCTGGGACTAGTGATGGGAGCTCACACCATCATGCGGCACTTGGGTCTCAAAATTATGACCTGCCAATCTTGCAGTTGTCAGAATCAGCATCTCTCTCTCTCTCTCTCTCTCTCTCTCTCTCTCTCTCTCTATATATATATATATATATATATAAAGGTAATAATAAAAATAGTCACCATCATCTCATGCCTTGTTGGTCTCTGGGACTATAATTATGGCAATGATATCATTGCATACTCCATATCTGGGTAGGAATCCTGTGGTTCTCCAGATGCTGGAATATGATTCCCAGCACTCCTTACCATTGGCTAGTCTGTCTAGTGCAATTGGGACTTGTATGTCAATAACATATGGAAGACTGCATGATTCCCATCCCTGCCCTATATAATTTATGTATACCTGAGAACACTTAGGAAAAAAAAAGCCCAGGTCAGGCATAAATACATCCATTTTTATTATATGGAATTGAAACAACAGTAGCAAGGAAAACAAAACCTGTGAATCATTTGAGAAGAAACAGCCGTGAAAAGGGGTAGTTGGGCCATGTTGGGAGCAATATTTCATACCCTGGAAAAACCTTTGTCACTTTAATTATCAAAGGAAGACAATTTAACATAGCTCTATAAGCAGAAGACAGGAGTCATGGAAAAGTCAATTCTGCCACATTTGTATAAATTAAGATTATGAATGTTTTATTCGTATTGCACCAATAAGTGACATTAAACCTCTGAAAACAATATATATGACTGGGTTGAAAAGGATGTTTCTTCCCATTGGGATTCTACTTTCCCCAAGGATTACATTTTGGTTTTATAGCAGATTAAGGGACAAAAAGAATTTCCATTTGATAAAAAGCAGCAGAGAATAGGGGCCTAAGGAGGGGCAGAAAGTTTGAGAAGGAAAGGGCAGAATTAGATACAAAAAAGGAAGTCAGTTCCTCCCCACACATCAACCTTACTTTTTTACTCTAGTCTTTTTACTACCAATTTCCAGGAAAATTCAGTATGGCATTTTAATAGGGAAAAGCTCTTGAGATGTATTGGCCCAAAGCTCTGGATTTTTGCAAGGGTTAATGTTGCTAGGTTGATCACTTATTTGCAAAATTCAAAACTTCAGCACAAGAAAAGTGACGGTTAAGCCTCCAAGAACCTGAGTAAATAATTGTGCATGATTGTTATACATGTACTTTCCCCATAGAGCTACTAGTTGAAAAACTAACAACACAAACTTAAATATTCTTCCAAAGAATGATTTCACCATGAAATGCACATAAAAGACAGCAGCAGCTATAGCTTTTCATTACCTCGACACTATAAACTGAACCTATTAAAATCCCCTCTCCTAAACAGTTATTTATTACTGTGTTTTATCTCACCTTTCTATTCTCAAAGTGGGATCATCCAGTTTTTCAAGACAGGATTATAAAACTATAGGGGTCCCCCTCTTTTTTGCATAATCCCACCACCACCACCACCAACGCCTTGTGGCTGATATACTATGGGACTATGTTCAATCTATTCATTTGAGCATGAGGGGAAAGAAGCCACACATCCTATACACATGGCTTCTAGCCCCCACATTTCCTAATAAACTGAAGACCAAAATGCAGCTTAATGAATAAGAGAATAGCAGCAATTGGGACTGGTTTTAACAGAAGGAAAAGAGAAAGCAAGCAAAAGGAACAATTTAGAGACATTTGCCATTTAAGAGAAGCATCCAGACCCAACAAATACTCGAGGCAACAGATTCTGACAAATCACTTGTCATTCACAGATGAATAAAGAAAAAGTATTTCTCAGACCTCAGGTCTTGGATTGGGATGCCTCAAAACTCTGTCACTCCCTGGCTTTCTGAAAGGAAATGGCTGCTCTTCTCTTCTCCTGTCCTCTTTGAATAGTTCTTTCTAGTCCTCATCTCTGTAATGTCCTCCTCAGTCTCTTTTCTCACATAGACCTCCAGCTCTCTTGTACAGAATATATTCTCAAACACTCTCCTCATGAAGCAACAGAGAGTTTTGGTTCTCCGCAGCC